CAACACAATACAACCATTGGCAGGCACAGAAAGAAATTGGGAGAAAATTGCACTTGAGAAGAATGGGGTGAGTACTAACCCCTTCGAAGAATTTAATAGACCACCCAGAGTACTTTCCTGATCCTTACACAAGCTTGTGATGAGGGCCAGGAGAGGTGCAGAGGAGGACAATTGGCAGGAAGAAGTTGTATGCCAGAGGGCAAAGAGTGGATAGTGTAGAAATACACACCCCAGGTAAGAAGTTCTTGGGTGGAAGCTGAAGCAGGAAAATAGGAAGATTGGTCAACAGGGAACAATAGGAGCCCTCATAGTACCACTAGGTGGTGGCTTCTGCAAGAGTTTACTAATTCACTTTTTAAAAATAGGGATTGGAAACAGAGAAATTGGGAAAGACCAAAACATTGGTCCATATTTCACAATAACTGTCACTGGGATATTTGTCAGTTGGACAAAGGTAGGAAACTCAAAACTTAAAAAAATTGAGTAAGATGTCCTGGTTTAACAAGATGTTTGACTTGACTAAAAAAAATGTCCTGGGAAAGAGGGGAAGCTTTGCCTCTCCACATAGTGCTCTCTGAAGCTGGCGTGAAAGAAGTAACTTTGGAAAGAACTAAAAGCCTTGAGGTTGACTCTTTTATTTTTCTTTTGCCTTTTTTAGTTCCTATAAAGTAATGGGAACTCTTTCCCCAGTATTCTTTCTAAGTGGTGTTGCTGTTTATCAGCTTTAGGAGCACTACAAGACCCGGGGATTAGCCTCAAAAACTGTGCTTATATAAAACATCATTATAACACCAAGGTCAAGGGTTCAGATCCCCTTACCTGCCAGCCAACCCCCCCCCAAAAAAAGAAGAAACTTTAGCAAGCCCTTGCATGTCCTGCTTTTGATCTCATTGAGTATGTTAAGGAATTGAACTCTAAATTAGCCAATGGCTGGCTGTTTAGCTCAGCTGGTTAGAGACCTGGTTATAACACCAAGGTCAGGGGTTCAGATCCCAGCCTGCCACCCCAAAAGAAAAAAGAAAAAAACAATTAGCCAAAGATAGGGCTAATGAAAGAGCTACAGTGAAAGAAAATGAAGAATGAGTTAGGATACACCAAGATCATTTACAGAAGATCTAATTGTTACCACCAAACATTAAGACAGCTGGGCAGAGAATTAGCAAAGAGGTGTGACTTTAAGACAGTACACCTGGAATTTCAACACCCTGTAAGTGTTGTGATGTTTGGTGCATGCCACAACCTGCCCATCCCTACTGTAGGCTCTTTAGATAGAGCTGTTCCATGAGTTCTTGCCACACAAGCCATTATGACTGTAAGAGGCAGAGGAGGACAGCCAAAGGGTGGAGAGAACTTACAAGACTAACAGCTGGAAGATAAAGGGGTGAGTGGTACATTTCTAGAAGCTGAATCTAGAGGTCTGTTATGGGCTGAATGGTATCCAGAAATTCTTGTGTTGAAATTCTAACCCCCAGTTCCTCAGAATGTGAGTGTATTTGGAGATAGTATCTTAAAAAAAATTAATTAAAACAAGGTCATTAGGGTGGGCCCTAATTCAATAAGACTTGTGTCCTTATAAGAAGAGATTAGGATTAGAGCACTTACAACACCAAAGTCACAGGTTCAGATCCCCATACCAGCCAGCCACCAAAAAATAAAAATAAAAGAAGAGATTAGGGAACGAACACAGAGGAAAGATCCTCTGAAGACACAGGGAGAAGATGGCCTTCTACAAGCCAAGGAGAAAAGTCTCAGAAGAAACTAACTCTGCCAACACCTTGATCTTGGATTTCTAGTTTCCAGAACTGTGAAGAAATACATTTCTGTTGTTTAAGTCACCAGTCTGTGGTACTTTGTTATAGCAGCCCTAGAAAATTCATACAAAATCAGAAATATATAGCTTCCAGGTTTTTCAAGAAGGTTGTATGAAGTTATCAAGGATTTATCCTGAGCGTCCCAGCTACTTTCCAACCTTAAAGTTGGTCTCTTACCCTATTATGGGTGAAGTCAGAAAAGTCTGAGAGGTCCCTGTCTTTAAGGTAATTGCAATCTATTTAGGAAGACAAAACTAACACACTAAAACAGTATCTACATCTTGTTCCTTGGATGATAGCCATGTGAATTTGTAAGAGCCATACATGAGAGAGAATAAATTCTCAAATGGACAAACCCAGATATACATAAACAGTATGTGTGTCACTGTCCAGGCGCTGCATTTGGACAGCTCCATTTGGTATTTTACAGTGAATTCTATTTTAGGTTAGGGCAGTGTTTCTCAAAGTATGTCCATCTGACCACCTAAAACAGAAACACTGGAGTGCTTGTTAAAAATGCAGATTCTTTGTAATACTGAGGACAAGGGTTCAGATCCTGGTACTAGCCAGCCAAAAAATAAAAATAAAAATTCAGATTCTGGGGCTGGCCAGTTAGCTTAGTTGGTTAGAGCACAGTATTATAACACCAGTGTCAAGAGTTCAGATTCCTGTAACCTGTACTAGCCAGCTGCCGAAAAAAAAAAAAAAATCCGGATTCTCAGCCCCACTGTAGGCTTTTTTTAAAAAAGCAACCCCAATAATTATTGACCCTGAAGTATGAGAACACGAGTTTAAGATTTATCATCATTGTTCTCCTCTTGGCTGCCAGTCTCTGTTGAATAAGAATGCCTCCTACACCTGCACTTCTAGGACAAGAAAATCTATCAGGTCAGGGAGGAAAGAAAGCACCCGAATAGAAAATCGAACCAAGAAGAGACCCCTGTCCTGATGGCTGTCTGACCATGGTTACGAATTCCGTAAGTAGCAAGGTCAGTCAGTGGTCAACCTTGAGAATAGAGGAAATATTGGGATATTATTTCCCACTGTCCCCCAATATTTATAATCTGTCTTCTAGCACTTGCCATGCTTATTATTTTTTTTAGCTTTTTTCTTTTTGTCATACTTATTCTTATCCTTACACCTTTGCTTATGCTGGCAGATTTGTCCTCCTTTCTTCCTATTTTTCTGAATCTTTCTTTATGTATATATTTTTTACAGCTGGCCAGTATAGGGATTGAACACCATGCTCTTACCAATTTTTGAATTTTTCAAGTCCTCGAAAGTCCCATTTTCTCCAAGATGATCTTACTTCTCCAGCTTCCATTGATATCTCTCTTCTCTGAATTCTTGTAGCAATGTGGTCACTACCAACATGGTTCAGCATTAGGCTATAATTTTTTGTGTATATTTGTTTTAGCTCTCCAGCTAAATTTTATTTATTTATTTATTTATTTTTAGGGGATCTTACCCCTTGGCTTGGTGTTGTCAGCACCACGCTCAGCCAGTGAGCTAAACAGCCATCCCTATATAGGATCCGAACTCGTGGCTTTGGTGTTATCAGCATGGCACTCTCCCGAGTGAGCCATGGGCCAGCCCTCTCCAGCTAAATTTTAATAATCTTGAAGGCAGAGAGCATTTCTTATAGTTTGGTACCTCCCTTTATAGCTCTTAGAGTAGGACTAGGTATAGATATTAATAAGTACTTCATTGACTGAAATAAAAATTAGCTCTGTACCTGAGAGGCCACTCTGCTCCTGATGTCTGCTTATCCGTCTTCACTTTGCTTCTGGGAGGCGAAGCCTCCAGTAGGATACTTAGCTGCTTTACAGATGCATAGAATTCACCAAGAAAGTCAATGCCTTGCTAGAATTGTGGCTCCAGTTGCGTGACAAAAGAAAAAGACACAAAGGCCTTATCTGAACACTATGTCTCTTTGCTCCGGTTAACCATTTAGGTTTGTCCAGAATTAAGAGACTGAGGGAACTTCACACATAAGATCAGAAAATGTCCTCAGACATATCGATTGCATGTTGAGATGATAAAATTTGGATATATTAATTTTATCAGCACTGCACTATAACTAACTAAACTAACCAGACAACCCCTCCCCCTCCCCTTTTTCTTGTCAACAGGCCTGGCTATGTTAATATAAATTTTTTTAAAAAATTTAATTGCGAGGGCCAAGCCCATGGCGCACTCGGGAGGGTGCGGCTCTGGGAAGCGTGACAGCGCTCCCGCTACAGGTTCAGATCCAATATAGGGATGGCCAGTTTGCTCACTGGCTGAGCGTGGTGCTGACAACACCAAGCCAAGGGTTAAGATCCCCTTACTGGTCATCTTTAAAAAAAAAAAAAAAGAAAAGAAAATGTCCTCTGGGAGGCCACTTTATAAGTCTGGTCCTGATGATGAAAGGTAGGATTGCACAATGAAGGACAGTGTCCATAGTAAAGACTCCCCACGATGTCTTCACATGGACACTGAGGGTTTTCACACGAGTACTTGGTTTTTCACATGGCATTTCAGCTCTCCCTCCCTCCTTATTATCCAATCACAAGCACTTCCAATCCCTACCTATACTTCAGGCAGTCACCAAATCACCCTCCATGACACCTCAAATATATATATTTTAAATCCCTTTCTAAGTTCTACACACCTCACAACTAAATACCTGGGGGAGGTTTTTTTTTTTTCTTTTTTCTTGTTTTTTTTCAGTCTTTTTTTATCTTTTCCATTTCATTGAAATGTTTACAGCAATAAGGGAGGAGGAGGAGAAAGGAAGGGGTAAGAAGGCCCCGTAGGGAAAAATCCAATGAGTCCAAGCCCAGGACTCATTCCCCAGGGAGATCCAGACCCAAAATCTGCTCCCCAGATCACCAAGCCCACCGGACTGGGAACTGTCCAAATATCACCACCCCTGTGGGCCAGGGGCCCTGCAGGGAGTTGTGCTTGATAAGGAGTTGCCCCAAGGGACAAGGTTATTGGGTGCACTCTTGGAGGGCTGAGAGTGCAGGCTTGCTTGGGGGGCAGCTACAAGAGAAAGAGGGAAGGAGTTTCAGAGAAAGTCTGAACTTTAAACCACCAGCCACAACCGCCCATTCCCTCACCCTGGGGCTTTCTCCCAGGCCAGAGGCCTCAGTTTCCATGAACAGGAAATTGTAGCACAGGAGGAACCTGTCTGTCTGTCCTTTTGCCATGTTCCTCCCACCCTGTGCAGCCAGCAGCATTGCTGGCTCCAGAGAGGAGCTGCTGACAGGTTCAATCCAGCAGGGGCCTTTGGCAACCTCAGAGACTGCCCTTCCCAACCCTCGGAAACCAAAGCCCTCATTTTCCTCTGGAAGTTAGGAAAATTAGGGGGGAAGAAAGGGTCAAGAAATGGGCTGCACCTTTCCAATTTTTTCCTCCTCACTCCCCTGGGGACCTCTGGGCTCCTCCTCACTGCACTGCCCCCAAATAGTGCTGGTGCATGTGTCTGGTGGGAAACTTGTCTGTGAAACCGGGCACCTCAGGCCCCCACGTCAAAGCTCTCTGAGGGTTTCAGCCTCGGGGTGGTTCAGGGTGCTGGTACCCTGGAGGGAAATCTCCACTTTGCAAGGAATAACTGCTGTTGAAGTTGCAGTTAAGGGGCAGGATGTCCATGCTGCAAGCTTCCCAGCCTCCCAAGGAGTGCTTGGACTCCCAGAAGCTCCCTGGGGAGTGAAGGGGGCGAGGAGGGATTGAAGCCCACCCAACTTGGCGATTAGGGTGTTGTAGGGGTTTGTTCCCCCACGGGGCTGCAGCACAGGGTTAGTCAGCAGGTGGTTCCCCATAGTATCGCTGTTGAGGGTGGGGGTGCCGTTGATGTCATCTGCCATGAAGGAGGGCTCAATCTGTTTCCTCACACTGTTGTTCTACATCCTCCAGATTTGGCTCTAAGTCCCCATATAGTAGCAGGTGTTGCTTCTCATGGCTGAGGTCTTGAGGGAGCTGTGAGTGCCCCCAGTGGGGAGCAGATGCAGCAGCAGGAGTGATGCAGGCACTTGCTGTACTCCTGTGCACCTTCTTATGTAAGGCGCGGTGAAAGACAAAGATGAAGACCCCTTGGAAGGTGTTTAAGGTGGTGAAGAGATAGGCTATGACTACTGACTCCTTGTTGATGAAGAGGAGGTGANATGGCCTTCTACAAGCCAAGGAGAAAAGTCTCAGAAGAAACTAACTCTGCCAACACCTTGATCTTGGATTTCTAGTTTCCAGAACTGTGAAGAAATATATTTCTGTTGTTTAAGTCACCAGTCTGTGGTACTTTGTTATAGCAGCCCTAGAAAATTCATACAAAATCGGAAATATATAGCTTCCAGGTTTTTCAAGAAGGTTGTATGAAGTTATCAAGGATTTATCCTGAGCGTCCCAGCTACTTTCCAACCTTAAAGTTGGTCTCTTACCCTATTATGGGTGAAGTCAGAAAAGTCTGAGAGGTCCCTGTCTTTAAGGTAATTGCAATCTATTTAGGAAGACAAAACTAACACACTAAAACAGTATCTACATCTTGTTCCTTGGATGATAGCCATGTGAATTTGTAAGAGCCATACATGAGAGAGAATAAATTCTCAAATGGACAAACCCAGATATACATAAACAGTATGTGTGTCACTGTCCAGGCGCTGCATTTGGACAGCTCCATTTGGTATTTTACAGTGAATTCTATTTTAGGTTAGGGCAGTGTTTCTCAAAGTATGTCCATCTGACCACCTAAAACAGAAACACTGGAGTGCTTGTTAAAAATGCAGATTCTTTGTAATACTGAGGACAAGGGTTCAGATCCTGGTACTAGCCAGCCAAAAAATAAAAATAAAAATTCAGATTCTGGGGCTGGCCAGTTAGCTTAGTTGGTTAGAGCACAGTATTATAACACCAGTGTCAAGAGTTCAGATTCCTGTAACCTGTACTAGCCAGCTGCCAAAAAAAAAAAAAAAAAAAATCCGGATTCTCAGCCCCACTGTAGGCTTTTTTTAAAAAAGCAACCCCGATAATTATTGACCCTGAAGTATGAGAACACGAGTTTAAGATTTATCATCATTGTTCTCCTCTTGGCTGCCAGTCTCTGTTGAATAAGAATGCCTCCTACACCTGCACTTCTAGGACAAGAAAATCTATCAGGTCAGGGAGGAAAGAAAGCACCCGAATAGAAAATCGAACCAAGAAGAGACCCCTGTCCTGATGGCTGTCTGACCATGGTTACGAATTCCGTAAGTAGCAAGGTCAGTCAGTGGTCAACCTTGAGAATAGAGGAAATATTGGGATATTATTTCCCACTGTCCCCCAATATTTATAATCTGTCTTCTAGCACTTGCCATGCTTATTATTTTTTTTAGCTTTTTTCTTTTTGTCATTCTTATCCTTACACCTTTGCTTATGCTGGCAGATTTGTCCTCCTTTCTTCCTATTTTTCTGAATCTTTCTTTATGTATATATTTTTTACAGCTGGCCAGTATAGGGATTGAACACCATGCTCTTACCAATTTTTGAATTTTTCAAGTCCTCGAAAGTCCCATTTTCTCCAAGATGATCTTACTTCTCCAGCTTCCATTGATATCTCTCTTCTCTGAATTCTTGTAGCAATGTGGTCACTACCAACATGGTTCAGCATTAGGCTATAATTTTTTGTGTATATTTGTTTTAGCTCTCCAGCTAAATTTTATTTATTTATTTATTTATTTTTAGGGGATCTTACCCCTTGGCTTGGTGTTGTCAGCACCACGCTCAGCCAGTGAGCTAAACAGCCATCCCTATATAGGATCCGAACTCGTGGCTTTGGTGTTATCAGCATGGCACTCTCCCGAGTGAGCCATGGGCCAGCCCTCTCCAGCTAAATTTTAATAATCTTGAAGGCAGAGAGCATTTCTTATAGTTTCGTACCTCCCTTTATAGCTCTTAGAGTAGGACTAGGTATAGATATTAATAAGTACTTCATTGACTGAAATAAAAATTAGCTCTGTACCTGAGAGGCCACTCTGCTCCTGATGTCTGCTTATCCGTCTTCACTTTGCTTCTGGGAGGCGAAGCCTCCAGTAGGATACTTAGCTGCTTTACAGATGCATAGAATTCACCAAGAAAGTCAATGCCTTGCTAGAATTGTGGCTCCAGTTGCGTGACAAAAGAAAAAGACACAAAGGCCTTATCTGAACACTATGTCTCTTTGCTCCGGTTAACCATTTAGGTTTGTCCAGAATTAAGAGACTGAGGGAACTTCACACATAAGATCAGAAAATGTCCTCAGAGGCCTGTGGCTCACTCGGGAGAGTGCGGTGCTGATAACACCAAGGCTACAGGTTCAGATCCAATATAGGGATGGCCAGTTTGCTCACTGGCTGAGCGTGGTGCTGACAACACCAAGCCAAGGGTTAAGATCCCCTTACTGGTCATCTTTAAAAAAAAAAAAGAAAAGAAAAGAAAATGTCCTCTGGGAGGCCACTTTATAAGTCTGGTCCTGATGATGAAAGGTAGGATTGCACAATGAAGGACAGTGTCCATAGTAAAGACTCCCCACGATGTCTTCACATGGACACTGAGGGTTTTCACACGAGTACTTGGTTTTTCACATGGCATTTCAGCTCTCCCTCCCTCCTTATTATCCAATCACAAGCACTTCCAATCCCTACCTATACTTCAGGCAGTCACCAAATCACCCTCCATGACACCTCAAATATATATATTTTAAATCCCTTTCTAAGTTCTACACACCTCACAACTAAATACCTGGGGGAAGTTTTTTTTTTTCTTTTATCTTGTTTTTTTTCAGTCTTTTTTTATCTTTTCCATTTCATTGAAATGTTTACAGCAATAAGGGAGGAGGAGGAGAAAGGAAGGGGTAAGAAGGCC